CCCTACACTCCACGGAAAAAAAGAGCAATTTGGAGGGCCCCGTTTGGTCCGTCCGATACATTGTCAACAAATTACCCAGTCCATGTGCCACAAAATGCTCTGATAGCAGAGAATTTGAGCCTACAATTCGTGATTCGGTCCGTGCAGGCATTTTTGGACCTACATGTATACTGGCCTGCAAACCTTACCAGGCTGAAATTGGCACGAAATTCGGGCCGGATTTTCGGCGGGCCTGATTTTCGGCTGGATTTTTTACGGCTGCAAGCATCCCTTCACGTAACCGGCTGGAAATTCTACGGAGGCCGATCATGGCATAGCAGAAAGAGTCCATAAACGTCCACAAACAAATTACAGAAAAAAAGCAGTGTTTAAATAAATCCTTCTCTGGAATGTATCTTAGCTATGAAACAACGTGAACAACTGAGACATTTTTTCCCCAACAGGAAACACAGACGGAATGTGTACGAAAAAACACAAAGCCTTCATGCAAAATGATGAGGGCGCTAGTACAGACAATGATGCCCCCAAAATAATGCTTTCGCGAACGGGTTCGCATTTTGTATACTGTCAATTTCTCTTCTATTAAGGAAAATGGAGGAACATGAACTCGACAATTTCTAAAGAAGTATGGAATGTAATGGCAGATATATAAAAGAGTGCCAGAACTTATTTAGAAAGTGTCAAATGCGAAAAAGCAAAAATCGAAATCGCTCTATAATATTGATTTCAGGAGTCAGCGCACCCGATTAGGAACAAAGACAGAGAAAATAGGTTTCTAGGCTGACGTCCGTTTTCAAACCGTGACGATTTTGTACCATCCTAGATTTCAAAACAATGGGTTTTTCTCTTGAGGAATGTGTAGGGGGGACCCTTGGGCACACTTAATTAGCGCCCCGAATGATTCGGCTAACAGGTTGTCTCAGCCCAATTGATTTCAGGAGTCTACGCACCCGATTAGGAACAAAGTCGGGGAAAATCGGTTTCAGGGATGACGTCCGTTTTCAAACGATTTTG